TGAAAAATCATAATAATTCCTGAAGCTTGGATTGATCTAAATGTAATAATAAAAAAAACTACTTTATTACTTTATATTTATTTATTTTACCAATAAGAAGAAAAGTACAAATAGAATAYGACCTTAAAACACGAGACAACGTTTAAAGAAAATTTTAGAAAAACTTAAAAAAATTACATATTTCTTAAGACGGTCAAACATTTATTCACGTTTAAAACAAATTTTTGTAAAAAAAATTACAAACTAGTTTTTTTATTTTTTTTAAATTTTCTGTGTTTCTATTTTTCTCTTCTAATTCATATGTATTATTGTGCTCTGAAGTATTTTAAAACACGAAAAAGAAAAAATAAAGTTTTATAGAGAATATTTATTAAAGGATGAATTTAGCAAAAAACTTAAAAAACATTATTTATAGTTTTTTATACTTTGTTTGGAGTTCTCAAGTTTCTCAAGCATCCTATCAYCTAATGCCTAAATGTCGAAACAAATTTTTGTAAAAAGTAAACGCTGAAAAATAATAATAATTCCTGAAGTTTTGTTTGATCTAAATGTAATAATAGAAAAAAAATTAGTTTATTTCACCAACAAAAAAAAAAGTACAAAAACAATAGGACCTTAAAACACGAGACGTTTGGAGAAAATTTTAGAAAAACTACAAAAAATTACATATCTCTTAAGACGCTCAAACATTTATTCAAGTTTAAAACACATTTTGTAAAAAAATGTACAAATTAACAAATTAGTTTTCATTTTCTCTAATTTTCTGTTTCTATTTTTTTTTCTGATTCCTATGTATTTTTGTGCTCTGAAGTAACTTAAAACACGAAAAACACAGAAATAAAGTTTCATAGAGATTATTTATTAAAGACTGAACTTAGCAAAAAAAAACTTAAAAAACATTATTTACAATTTTTATACTTTGTTGGAGTTCTCAAGCCCCTCAAGCATCCTATCAGCTCACGCCAATGTTGGAAACAAATTTTTGTAAAAGTAAACAGATTTGCGTTATTTTATTTAATTTTCCTTGCGGATGAAAGAACAAATCGACCTGTTTTTTGCAACAAACAATTCATATCTTAAAATTCGAGGGTTTGTGAATAAATAACATGGTGATAAATATTTGTCGCTCAAAATAATTAATTTCGCATTCGCTGTCTCCATAATAAAATCAAACCGTTGTAAGTGTCAATTACTAAATTTTTAACGATACACATTTTTTCTCATTTCACGTCCACCCTTGTTCTCCAGCAAATGTTTTCGGTCAACATGAATTTTTATTTTCGCCAGGGTTAATGTTTCATTCCGGCGAGCTTTTGTGCAACCCCTCATAATATTTTAACACTATTTCGACGTTGCGCCAGTTGGGACACCTAATGTTCATTTAAAATTAATGTAGTTGCTGGAAAAAAAAACAACGACACAAACCTAAACAAAACAAGGCTTTTTCTCCAAAAAGGCGTTATTATAAATTGAAATTGGACGCATTGTTTCAGTTTTTTGTTAGTGTTGCCAATTGCTTATTAGTTAGCAATTAGTTATTTAAGAGGAGGCTTAAATGCACTGCCCTGTTAAGCCCCATTAGTTTAAGTTACATGATCTAAATTGCTGTTAATTACCGAAATATCGATTTGCTACTTTTGTTTGCAGTCGATATCTGCATTGGTCTCCGCCTCACCAACATGACAGCCCCCGCGTTGCAGGACCCTCGCAAAGACATGGAACTGCATTGCAGGTTCGACATGGGGGGCGAGGAGCTCTACGCTGTCAAATGGTACAAAGACGACCACGAATTCTTCCGTTACACCCCAGCTGCAGCTGTCAGTATCACCCAATTTCCCGTAGATGGGGTGCATGTTGATGGGCAAAACAGCAGATGTATGCCCGAAGGATGCGATCTCTTGCTGAAGGAGTTGTCCAGACCCCAGAGTTCTGGGGCTTATCGATGCGAAGTTTCGAGCGAAGCGCCGGCGTTCAGACTTGCCTCGCAGACGCATAACGTCACTGTTGCAGGTGAAATTTTATTAAAACATAAAAATTATGTGTTTATAATACAGGGTGTGTCAGAATTCGCCTCTCATAGAAAAATTTCAAGACAAGATGCCAGGAACATGAAAAAAGGTTTGAAAAATTCTATCTGTCATTTATTTTTTGTCACTTGATATTTTTATGTCTATTTAATGATCTTGTATACAGAGTGTCCCAGCGAGTTGAAGAAGTCTATTAGTGACCTTTAAATGGTAAAATCACAAAAAAAAATGTGTAGGACATTGATAGATACTAATCTAGTGCATCACCTAAAATTATTTTTAACCATACAGCATGTCTCAAAAATAAGTTGCGATACAAACTTATGTTTTTTAAATGAAACACTATATTTCTTTGCATTTTTGGATGTAGTCTTTTAAAACAATGTTAAACTTTTATTAGTCGATTTTGCTTAGTTTCAAAAATAAGACGGTTTTTTTGACGAAAACATGCACTTTTTAAAAATTCATTACACAAAAACTAAGACAACTAGAACAAATTTTTTTTTACTTCTGCAAAGAAGAAGAAAGTACGGAATTTAAAAGTGAAGCAGCTTTTTAGTTTTTTCCATTTGTAAAGATTAATAAATTAAGAAGTTTGTTAAAAGTTAAATAAGTTAAAAAAAATTAAATAGAACACCTTTTTTTATTTTTGCATCTAATAGATTGATAAATTGTCTATCTAAAAAAATTAACTTTTAATGTCTAGAATTGATAAATAAAAAGATATTTAACATTCAATATTAATTGTAGCAACAATGCTTGTTGCTTGTTAATACTATGGCCACTATAGTAATTCCACCACGGATCACTTATCCCTTCATTTATCTAGGGATTGTTAAAGTCGTTATAAATACTGAAATTCGAATTATTTTATTGTAAAAATAAAGAATAATGGATTCAGTTTAACACAAATGTGATTGCACTTTTTGGCTACTGAAACAATAGTAATTATTTTTTTTATGTTTAACGTTAAATATCTTTTTAGTTATTGATTATAAACACTTAAAAGTAAATGATTTTAGAAAGATAATAATTTAATAATCTTTTAAATGCAAAAACAATAAATAGGGTGTTCCATTTAACTTTTTTAAGTTATTAAACTTTTAACAAACGCCTTCATTTTTTTATCTTTGCAAATGCAACACACTAAAAAATGTTACAACCTTATAGCTTGTACCTTCTTCTTTGCGGTAGTAAAAAAAATATTTCTCGATGTCTTAGTTTTTGTGTAATAGATTTTTTAAAAATGCATGTTTTCTTTAAAAAAAACCGTCTTATTTTAAAACTAAGCAAAATCGACCAAAAAAAAACATTGTCATAAAAATCTACATCAAAAAGACGTTAAGAAACATATGGTGTTTCATTTGTACTGTAGCTTATTTTTGAGACACGCTGTGTAGTTGAAAATAATTTTAGGCGATGGACTAGATTAGTATCTATAAATGCCCTATATTTTTTTTTATTTTACCATTTAAAGGTCACTAATGGACTTTTTCAACTTGCTGGGAGTTGCTGGTTGTTATTTTATAATTGCTTAGTAAAGATACAAAAAATTTGCTAATAAAAGCCGCAAATGACATTAAAAAGAATTACAATTTGGGATACAGCTTCCTTGTTTCCGCTCTTCTAATAGCTTGTTGCAAAAAACTTGTAAAATTATTTTTCCAACAGAAATAAATAGAGTCAATGTGCAAAATTTAAACTCTCAAAATTTCGAAAATTTTATAGATAGAATTTTTTTCATGTTTCTAGTATCTTACCTTATTTTTCTCTGGGGCGTGAGTTCTGGCGCACCCTGTATGTTGTTATATTTTATATCAATATAAAAATAACTATTCTGTTATAATGTAACCAAAACGGGACGTTGTTTGGTTACATTTGAGATTAGTTGCAAGCTGTAATCTTGTTTTGCAAAGTTTCTGAAGCTTAAAACAGCAAAAAGTGTTATTATACTTAAGGATATTGCCAGAATGGGGCGAATAAATTATTAAGTATTTAAGTGGAAGCAAAACAGAAGTTTGTTTTACTTGATATTGTTTAGAATTTTGTTGTTTTTATGAAGCCTTGACGAAATTGGTTTTTTTGAGTTTATGTTGGGAATGTTGGATTTCAAGATCTATCACTTTTTTCTCTATCTATCACCAGCACTTATCTAATTAATCTTTCAATTTTTGCAAGTTTTTTACTTCTTTTTTCTGTTGTTTGTTTTATGTGTATAAGTAATACATCTTTTTCTGTTTTTGAATATTTAACTTTACATTTTTTTTCTCTAACTTTTCTGTCTTTTTGTAATGTTCTAAAACCTTCATAGGTTTAATATTTGTTTATTCGCAAATGTCACAAAAGTGACCACTTTTGTAAAAGTAAAACTCTTACTCTATGACATGTACCAATGTTGTTATGGATGTGTCAAATTTTACGACTTTTGTTTTACAATAAAAACCATCAACACTTTTTATTTTGCAAAAATTCTACAAATTTTACAAAGTAGACCCCACAACCTTTATATCGACAAAAAGTTCATAAAGAATGCCATGCAATGATGCATTAAAATATAGAATTTTTATTAAAAAAAGTTGAATTATTGCCATTTATAATTTGTTATTTTTAAAAAATCGTAGCAAGCAACGACTTAGAGTTTCTCTTTATTTCAAAAATGTGCTAAAGCTTAAGTAATCGACTAAAAAAAAGTTGGTTGAGTTATCTTGAATGGTTCTCAAGTTATGAATTTTTCTGTGGGTCTATTATTCACGACACTATTTTGAGACATAAAAAACTATTGCAGATAAGTCTAAGAAAAAAAATCCAAAAGTGTATCAAAAATTGAGGCTTTTCATTAAAAAAAAAAACAAAACTTAGTTGTGAATCTTATTTTGGGACACTTGTATTGAATAAAAATATTTTTAGAATGTGCCTCATTGTAAATTCTATCGTTAAAAAAATCAAGTCGATCCGCAAACCCCTTCAGATAAATTAAAAATGAATAAATAAATTTATCAGTAAACGTCAAAAATTTTACACTTTTTTGTTTAAATGACAGAAGTAAAAGTTCTACCTTCACTGTAGGCATAAAAGTAAAACTTTTGTGTCTAGGCTTAAAAATGAAACTTTTAGTTAAAATAATCTAGATACCTATAAAACTGTCATTTTTTTAACGTTTGTGGATAACAAAAGTTATTCATTAAAAATTTTAGGAGCATATACGTATTGTAACACTTTTAATTTTATTAACGTTACGTTTTAACTGCGTTACTCATGTAGTATTATACGTTTACTCATTTACTTTTTGTTTACATTATTTTATTATGTTCTAAAGTCCTTTAATTTTAATAACCTTTTTAGGTTTTGTACATTTTTATGTTATGTTACTATAATATTTTACAATACTTAGTATTTTCTTACGTTTTTATTTTTTTACTAGAATTGATCCGAAAAATTTTAGCATTCTTATATTCAAATAGCAAAATATGTAGATAAAAAAGTGATACTTTATGTGGTGAAACTGAACGTTTATTTTGCCAAATGTAGTGAGGCAATTAATTCAGCTGAGCCACATTTTTGCTCCGAATAATTAATGTACAACACTTTATCCACAAACGTATTCAAATCAAGAGTAAAGAGCAAAAAGTAAATGCACAAAATGATCAGAACGCTTTGCCAGTAAGAAAATCATAACAACGCTTATAAACAAAATCATTCATCAGTATCAGGATTAGTGTTAAAATTTTCGCAAATGTTTATTAATTTAACTAGTGCAATTAGTAGTGCAATATGTCGAATGCTGATGAAATTGCTGAAGCAGTGAAAGAGACACAAAAGAGACATTATTAAGTAAAAACGCTTAGGCGCAAAAATAGAATTTCCACACTATGGCTGACAGGTAAAACTTTTATTTGTGACATATTGTCATAAAAGTGGTTACTTTTGTGACATTTTCAGATAAAAACATTTTTGACCTTTTATAGTGCATTTTAGGCTTCAGTTTTTCAGAATATTGTCATTGTCGAGTTGATATTGATAACGCTGTAAATTTCAGCAGTGTTGACATGAGGGGGTGAAAACTCGGAAAAAATTTGTCAAAACAATTACAAGGATGATAATAGAAATGGGGTGGGGCATGTTAAATCCGGGGAATCCTGGCGTATGCGGTAATTTAGATTGGATGTGTTCCAGCTTGAACCTACGTGCGCGATTCCCGGATTATAGTTTCTTGTTGCAAACAAGAATATAATTGAAACTTGCTTCATTAAGTTCCATATAAAACTTATTTATTTCTGTTAATATCCCCAGGAAATTTTCACTAACCCTCATCAAAGTAATTGACGTTTAATTAGAAATTAATATCGACGTAACATAAATTCGCAACTCGAGCTATTTTTTATTAGATTTAATTATATACAGCTTGCTTTTTTATTAGGACTTTCTCGTTGAGTCGTTTTAGGGTTTTCTTCACTCGATCGATCACTTCGATCTTTTTTTTCTTAGTGGCCTCGTCGCCGTGGTCCATGAAGTCGTAAGCTTTTTGCCAGTGATTGTGCAAGTCGTCTTTCAGAGTCGCGTAGTAGAGATCGATTTGAGACATAGTCATGGCTTCGATGGTACGTTCTATAGACTCCAAAGCATCCATCATATTCTTTAATTCGACTGGAAATATCTCAACAACGGTATCGACTTCGCTGTTATCCAGCTCGCTTTGGTTGTCGTTTAACTCAAAGATTTCGGTTACTTCCGGTTGGGATGGGAGGATTTTCGCACGCTTCGAATGCCTTTGGCCCATTTCAAACATACCTGAAAGAATTGTTTCAGTTCTCTTAATCATTAACTCGAGATTAATTATTCACTTGGGGTTACCGATTCAGGCTTATGCAACTATATTCTTAATTCAATTTGAATTATTTATCTTGGGAACTTCCAGAAGCGATAAATATTTTATATAGCGAATTGTTCTTAGGACTAGTGCAAAATTGAATGGAATTAAATTTTTTACGTTTTTCAATCATTAAGTCCTGAAGCCTAATTAAGCACTCAAGCTTGAACAAAGATATATTGATCGTAAAAAAGAACAACACTATTAATTAATCACAAATTAAATTCTGTTACAAAGCGACAAAGTTAAGAAATCTATTAAAAATTAATTACTTATATCGATTATTTTTTTGAGTAATTAATGTTTTTAAAACACAAACTTAAAACTTTATCGCACAAGACAATGATGAATTTTAAATAATTTCTCAAAATAGTCAATTCAATCGCAATTCTAGTAGTTTGTGTAAAAAAAACATTCACAATTTATTCAATTCCAGTTTATGTTTCTAATTTTTAAGAGAAAAAATCGGTATTTTGTATATTTTCTTCCCGAGAGATTGCAGTACTAGATTAGTAAACAAAAACAAGGAAATAAAAAGTCACTTTATTCCTTTTTGTAAGAAAAATAATATTATTTCAGTCTGGTGATGTTTAAATAAATAGTTGTTAAATTTTATTAAAAAAATATTTTTTTTTATTCCAATTTAACTAGAACTGAATAAACTTTTAATAATTTGGAAAATAATAAGATATTTGAAACAGAAGACGTTAAAAGAAAAGAAAAGAAAAAAAGGAAAAAATAATTAAAATAAAAAACATGAGATTTGAAAAAGAAAGGTGCTTATAACGTTATAAAGTTAGTCTAGTCTTGAAAATTTGTTCTAAATATAACATATTGCTTAAATAACTGTTTTCTGCCAAAATTACACAGCTTTAGCTATTTTTCAAGCAATTTTGCTCTATTTTAAAACAGAAGTCATTCTAAATTAAAGTATTTTATAAAAATAATTGCTTAAAATCTCTTTTTAGGCCAAAATAAAGCAATTTGTGCTATTTCCAATTGATTTGGCTTAATTTTAATCCGGAAATCAACCTGAATCACAGTTTTTCCACAAAATAAATGCTTAAATAACAGTTCTTCCAAAATAAAGCAATTTTGCTCCATTTTACTACAGAAATCATTGTAAATCAAAGTATTTTATGAAAATAATTGTTAGATTTTAAATTTTGTATGGATTATAAAATTTTAATACATATTTATTTATCTTTGTATTTTTATTATACCAATTTTAATTTTATTATTAATTTAGTTATTGTATAAAATTGCACTAATAATAATAAAATTACTATTGCTTAAAAAATTGTCTTTGTTGGTAATTTATTTTTTAATACCATTATTTTTCCTTGTGAAGTTTTGTGGTTTATTAGTTAAATTTTGATAATTTTTTTTTACAAATTTTCATGTTTTTTCGTTTTTATTCACTAAAGAAACGTACATATGACGTAATAAATAATAAAAATTCACTCAGAGCAACAAAGCTGAATATTGAACAAATTTTTGGAGACTTTTGTGTAAAAATTGCAAATTATAAGACTATAAATAAATTAGTGTTTTATTTCCTGTAGGTGTGTGTACAGGGTGATTCTTATAAAGCTTACATTATAAATTTTCAACTTCCAATGTAGCTCTACGACTTAAACTGAGTAAAACGTACCCAAGTTGTTTGAACTTCTTTCATAGTTTTTGAAATATGTACTTTTTTGTCAATTTTTTTTTTCAAAAAATCACAAGTCTTGAATCTTTTACAATAAGTGAATATTTTTTTTACATTTAATAATCAAATATTTGAAAAATATTCTAAAGTAGTTCAAGATTGTCAATTGTTAAATTTTAAAGCTAGTACGATTTTTTTAAATGATAATTGATAACTTAGTTTTATATGAATCAAAAATGATTGATTTCAAAATCGTATTTACATTGTAAGTTGAAAAGTTTCTAATGTAAGCCCTACAAGAATCAGCCTGAATAGTTGGTTGTTTGGTATTATTAATGCATTAACAATTTTTTTAAAGTGTTTTAACTTTTATTAAAACAAAAAGTTAAATAAATTGAGAATGTCAACTAAATATTACGAGGTATTTTGACTTAGAAAATAACAGGAAACATTAATTTTGTGTAATTTAGATCGAATTTATTTAAAACAGGATACATAAAAGCAAGAAAAAAATATATAAACATTGAAACCCTATGAGAGTTGTTTCATTCAGAAATATAATCTTCTTTTCACATTTATGTTGGGTATACTTCTTATTCGTGTAAAATTCAGTGCAATTCTGTATAGTATACACATCTTGAAATGGCGCTTTAAAAACCTTAGTTTTTATTTTTGTAAGAAACGAGAATGGGTTGTTAGAAATGCAAACTGTATGCTTAAAGCTGTATATTTCTTTAACGTAAACTAAAAACTGAATAAACATCAAATTTGATTGAGTATTAAACTATAAATGAAACTGTAATATTAGTAATAATGGATAGAGCAATTAATTACAAGATTAATAATGAGGTCGTAAATAATAAACAAAGTATTTAGCCTAATTATTTATAGATACTGGTGGAAAATGTGATATTATACTATATCATATAACGTCCAGTCATTATAAAATAAATAATGAAGAAACTAAAAATTTCATGTAATGTTTTTTTCATCGTTTTGGTAGTGTTTAGCCGTGTTCAACGTCCCGGAAAATTTATTATTTGTTAACCAACATGAATCCGCCACGATTATTTCCTCTTTATCGTTATTGTTGAATCAAAATCAGCCCAATTTGGAAAATAAATGTCATTTTATTTATCGCCCTTCTCCATTATCATTACACAAAAGCGGCCGTTAATAGAACAAGAACATAAAACATTCATGCCATTCAAATTCATTATTGACTGAAATAAAAAAGGATTTGAATCTATAATTAATTATTGTTGGTTCTCTTTTTTCATTCTTTGCCTCTCTAATTGTACTAAAATATTGACTCACCTTTTAGTGTGTTATGTTTTTCTAATTGGGACGACTTTTTCCATCGCTCTTTTCACACTGCATGGGAATTGGAGCAATAAATTTAGATAACACGTTTCAGCGGTGATAATAAATCGGAGATAAAACGCTTTCCAAGCTGGAGTTGTTCTGATAAGTTTTTATTTTTCCGATATTGATACAAAAATAATCAGTTTTTACAAACGTGCTGAGGGTAATTGCCAATGACGATCGATTAACAGCTAATCTAATCCATTACATTTGCCGTTTTAATGCACCAAACAAGATATTCGATAGTTTCAACTGCGATTTAACACCATTTAGCTCTCAGTTAATTTTAAAACTGGTATAAATAGCTCTAATTTAACAAATTAAATAACTATGAATAAAAATATTGGATTAAATTACACTACTATAAAGGCCTAAACAGAATTTTAAATACAGATTGTATTGTTAAAATTTTTAAAAATTATGTAGGAAACTAACTGCATTGCCTGAAACTATTTTCAACTATACAGCGTACCCCAAAAATAAGTTACAATACGAATTAATGTTTTTTTTTTTTTTAATAAAACATGTTTTTTGGCATTTCTGAATATAGCTTTTTAATAAAATGTTTTTCAGCTAAACTTTGCTTAGTTTTTGAAATATAAAAAGTATAGGTACTCTTAAAAAATTTATTACACAAAAACTACGACAACTAGAAAAAACTGTTATAACTTCAAATAAAAGTACAAAC